GTAGGGCAGGGCCACAATAGGTATTACAAGGGGGGAAGTCTGGTAATGAACAGCCTGACCAAAGTTACTCAGGTGAGCGATGTGGCCCATGGGCCTCTTGTTACATCTTAATGTTAAAATTAGATCATCATAAATGTTTATGTTTAACTTTATATTTCTCCTTTGTTGTCAATATCTGAAGGGGGGGGGGGGGTGTTCATGCAGTGGTTACTTTACCTATGCAGGTACTTTTTAAAACAATTTTTTTTATTCACAAAGGTTTTTTAAAAAAATCCCATCTCATATTATTTTTCCGTGTGTATTTGTACTGTCATTAAAAATTTTAGGAAGCATCTTTAATATAGTCAATGGTTGCAATTAAATTTATATTTTCATGTAAAGAACCGGAATATTTGACGAGGAATATTTGACGAGTAACATGGGTTCCGTCTGCTCTGTTAGTTGAGACCCCCCACCCCACCCCACCCTTTACAAACCCATCTCCTTTTAACAAGGCAGTATTAAATATTTCTCACAAAAAATCTATTCATATAACGTATACTATGCCCTTTAATGAAGATTGTGACGGGTTGAAATAATAAGATTTAATCATGACCTTAAATTTGTTGAATTATTTCTTTTAGCTAGTGCGCTCTAGTTCTATAATTTATGTCCTCCTTGCAATTTTTTAAAATCATTTTGTGGTTTCAAGCTATCTATCTTTCGTTTTTTTTTTTTTTTTTTTTTTTTTTTCAAGCCATCAGGAACTAGAAATCTTATGCAGTGTGATTTTCATTCAATGAAATACGCATCTTTCTTCGTTAGTACAATGTATAGATAATTAATGGTAATAGCTAGATCAATTAAAAAAAATTAATAACCTGCTTATACGCGGTCAGTCAGTTTAAACACGAAATAAAACAAAACTTGAAATTACGTGTTTGTTCTAAAACACCGTGTAAATTATTCACCTGTCCACCACGTGTAGAAGTTTCTACTTTCGTTTTGAGCATCGGGTCAAATATTAGTACATTTTGTATTTCTTCCGATATGCATTTAGTAAAATTAGAAATAACCTTGAACAGAGAGTATAATATTTGTTGTCCATTTCTCGTTGTGCGAGACCAATGTACTCAAAGTACATGCGACATGGGTCAATTAGTTATTCAGACTGTAGCAGAAAAAAAGGGGGGTGAAAGACGTACTGTTAACTAAGCTGATAGGCGCTAGGTTGCTTCTTTAGTTTTAAGTTCCATAAGTTATACATGTAATAATTACTAAATATCTATAATATACATGAATAAATTATTTTAGAGAATCAAGGAACAATACAAAATTCAGCTATTATAATAACATTTATTCATGAGTGTGATCAGCATGTTACTGACATTCATAATTCATAACAGATTTTTTTTCTCGGATTCAACGATGTGGAGTTTTCGCATTTCTAAATTGTGAACAGTTGATGCTAATATCATTACATAAAATGCTTAATCACTAAACCATCTTTTTAAAAAAAAAATCTCGAATAAATTTTGGATAATCATTTATTAGATAAAGTCGACCTCTTCCTTATCAATTTCTCGTCTCCGTTTTACAGGCCCTTAAACGATTCAAATGAATTTACATGTAGCACGCTCTCCCCGGTTATTCTTTAAACTTTATCTCAAGAAATGTACGTAAAACTAGCAAATGAAATTAAATACTGAGCAAAGATCTACGTGAATTAAAATAAATTTATTTTATGTTAACATGTTTAAGTTACTTCATTTAATTAATAAGTTTGTACAATGTATATCACTTCGTTTCTTTTCTTTTATTATTTTGCACTGTGTCCTATTTTGCTAAACATTTTTCTATCAATTTAATTTGTCCAGAAAATTGATAACAAATATTAAATTTTTTGTGCCTCCATAAAGATTTTTCCTGCTCCGAGTAGCAAGTACATGTACGGTGTAGGTTCATTTGTTTATTATTAACGCTGGTGGCCGCAGACGCAGAACAATCGGTAATTAGTGCCCATTGTTACGCTGACCACTACAACTTACATGGAATATACATGCATGTTGTACCCCGTTCTGACCCAGTGCCTAAGACATGTACACAATAAAGCCAAATCACGGGTTAATCTTCGATTTCTGATCAATTTAAACGTGTATTCCATTCAGACCTGTGACCTTAAAATATTAAAATCGATCAACTTAATAATTCATTATTTATATTTAGTAGGTCCAATTTCTTATTTTCCATTCCATAAAATTACATGTAAATTAAATGAATGAGATTTTTAAAACTTATTGAATAAAAATGTTTTACACATGTATGTGGTGACTTGTGAAATTGTAAGAGACCAACATCAAAATTACATGTACACGTGTATACCATTACACTTACACAATAATTCTGACAAATAATTTTTGATCAGCCCCCATCTGCCGGTTGCACATGTATATTTATTAAACATGTAGCAGAGTAATATTCTGGGACGATCTACGAATGCTTGCATTACATATTCCTAAAATAAAATAATAAATAAATAAAAAATGTGCCTCCAGACGGAATATATTCACCCCTGTTTTCATCTCTCAATTTATTTTGAAGAAGCATAAAATTTATCAGTTTCGGGCAGGTTTTCAGGGGGAAAAAGATCAGAAAGACCGAACATTAAAAAAAAATTAAAAAACTATGCATATCTTTGGGAAAGAATAAAAAAAATTGCTATCATGTAAGGCCATCTTTAAAAAGAAAATGATTGTTTGTCCTCTCTTGACCGAGTGAAAAAAAGGTCCGAATCAAAATTTTACTATTCTGCTGGAATTTTTTTTATCCCGAATTTTTCCTACCCATTAATAATTATTTCCACTTCAGTGTTTTTTAATGAAAAAATTCACCAACCTCCCTACCCAAATTTCTTGAGTCGGGCTATCAATCCTTTTTTAAAGCCTTTAGTTAATGTTTTAGTATTACAGTGACTTATGTTAAAATGAAATCTTCATGCAAAAGGAAAATTCCATTTATTCTGCTTACAGACATACATGTACTATTTTCATAGATTCTTGGAATACATTTGCCTTTACGCTGACAATTTTATTTAATGGTTAACTTTAATTATAATTGTCAAGATTTTCACAACCGTATTGTAGTTGAGATCAGTGTCATATTTTTTTGTCACAAGCAGTAAATGTAAAGAAATATGAAAATGTTGTTGTGAAAATTAAATAAAAAGAAAGTAATGACTGAAGAAGGTTTCAGCAACCCTAGTAAACTCTATTTTAGCACCTTCTCAGCTCAAGAACAATGACCACAGTAATTATCAGTAATTATCAGTAAATCTCAGCATCGACAGCACATCAACAGTATTTATTATATAAATAGTGCACGTTTTTGAGGGTAACAGTTGAAATTGACACCCCAAGGAAAACCATTGTCAACCTCAAAAACGTGCACTATTTATTTTATTATACTGAATGTCTTATTGATTTCGGATGTCATGAAAAAAATTCGGAGATCGTCGTTAAGTTCACGCTTAGAAAGCTTTCAAACTCCCCGCTTCTATTTTTCTCAATAAGAAAGCTTCGGGAAAGATTTACCAACCTCTCTATTGTTTGTTTGCTACTCAAAAAGTCCTTTATCATCTAAAGTTTGCACTCGCAAGGATGTTTCGTCTGTCGTTTGTTGTTTTCAAGTAAGCTACATCGGACGCAAGCTTTTATTGACGTCGTTTATTCGGCTTCTTTCAAACGCACAACCGACGTTTTGAGAATTCTACGGTGAACCGTACGCGCATGATTTGAACGCATGTGATATTTTCGTAATGTTACCCGTTGTCAAGTGTGTTGCTAACGCTGAGGGTAACATTACGAATTGTTAAATGCGTCTAAACCAATCAGATTTTAGTATTTAACATGAAAGTATAACAGTATTTATCAGACGCAACAGTAAAGACGACAGTAATTATCAGTATTTATCAGAAACAACTAAAATTATCAGTAACAACAGTAAGAATAACAGTAAATATCAGTTTTTATCAGCAAGAACAGCACAGTATCAGTAATTATCAAACTTTATCAGTAAAATTTGGGATTCTCAGCACTTTTTTCGTCCAGTAGTGTTCCTATGTGCCAACTTGTTTTCCAAATCCCCCCCCCCCTCCTTTGCAGATGTGTTTTTATAAGCCAGGCAGGTGGGATGTGTATAGGCATGCATGCATCATGTATTGTGTGGGACATACAGAGAATATTTTCCTGACTGCACAATACATAAAATTACAGCATGTGTACAGAGTCCGACAAGGGGATGTTGAAATTGAAAGTAGTCATTTATGGTAGACATTATTATAATTAAACAACACCAAAGTTAACACTTGCCCTGCTACAAACAATTGATGAAAAGATAAAGCAAGCAAACTGTATTTTTTTCCAAATAATTTTATTGATAGAAAATCAAATCTGTAATAAGAAGGAGATTGTTACTATCAATAAAATATAGAGTTAATTTCTATTGAAGATAGACATACACACTAATGGATTAAGTTGTGATAAATAATTCTGAATTGAGACTGAGTTCCTTGTTTTCAGGTGTCGGAGGGCTTGGCTTACCTTCACAAGATGTTGATTGTTTACAGAGACATGAAGCCAGACAATGTCCTTATTTACAGTCTGTCTCTCTCAGAAGTGGTAAGTTACCGAGACATGAAGCCAGACAATGTCCTTATTTACAGTCTGTCTCTCTCAGAAGTGGTAAGTTACTGAGACATGAAGCCAGACAATGTCCTTATTTACAGTCTGTCTCTCTCAGAAGTGGTAAGTTACCAAGACATGAAGCCAGACAATGTCCTTATTGACAGCCTGTCTCTATCAGAAGTGGTAAGTTACCAAGACATGAAGGCAGACAATGTCCTTATTTACAGTCTGTCTCTCTCAGAAGTGGTAAGTTACCAAGACATGAAGGCAGACAATGTCCTTATTTACAGTCTGTCTCTCTCAGAAGTGGTAAGTTACCGAGACATGAAGCCAGACAATGTCCTTATTTACAGTCTGTCTCTATCAGAAGTGGTAAGTTACTGAGACATGAAGCCAGACAATGTCCTTATTTACAGCCTGTCTCTCTCAGAAGTGGTAAGTTACTGAGACATGAAGCCAGACAATGTCCTTATTTACAGCCTGTCTCTCTCAGAAGTGGTAAGTTACTGAGACATGAAGCCAGACAATGTCCTTATTTACAGCCTGTCTCTCTCAGAAGTGGTAAGTTACTGAGACATGAAGCCAGACAATGTCCTTATTTACAGTCTGTCTCTATCAGAAGTGGTAAGTTACTGAGACATGAAGCCAGACAATGTCCTTATTTACAGTCTGTCTCTCTCAGAAGTGGTAAGTTACCGAGACATGAAGCCAGACAATGTCCTTATTTACAGTCTGTCTCTCTCAGAAGTGGTAAGTTACCGAGACATGAAGGCAGACAATGTCCTTATTTACAGCCTGTCTCTATCAGAAGTGGTAAGTTACCGAGACATAAAGCCAGACAATGTCCTTATTTACAGTCTGTCTCTATCAGAAGTGGTAAGTTACCGAGACATGAAGCCAGACAATGTCCTTATTTACAGCCTGTCTCTATCAGAAGTGGTAAGTTACCGAGACATAAAGCCAGACAATGTCCTTATTTACAATCTGTCTCTATCAGAAGTGGTAAGTTACCGAGACATAAAGCCAGACAATGTCCTTATTTACAGTCTGTCTCTATCAGAAGTGGTAAGTTACCGAGACATAAAGCCAGACAATGTCCTTATTTACAGTCTGTGTCTATCAGAAGTGGTAAGTTACCGAGACATGAAGCCAGACAATGTCCTTATTTACAGCCTGTCTCTATCAGAAGTGGTAAGTTACCTAGACATGAAGCCAGACAATGTCCTTATTTACAGTCTGTCTCTCTCAGAAGTGGTAAGTTACCGAGACATAAAGCCAGACAATGTCCTTATTGACAGCCTGTCTCTATCAGAAGTGGTAAGTTACCGAGACATAAAGCCAGACAATGTCCTTATTGACAGTCTGTCGATATCAGAAGTGGTAAGTTACCAAGACATGAAGGCAGACAATGTCCTTATTGACAGCCTGTCTCTATCAGAAGTGGTAAATACTTTATTCTCTCATTGTCAGAAGTGATAAGTAGTTCTACAGTCTCTCATTGTCAGAAGTGATACCATATAGCGGGTTTTCTTGCAATTGGTGGGTTTAAAATTTGGCATTTTGCTTACTCAAATGTATTCCAATAATTTTGGCGTAGTTTATTTAAGCAGACACAGGGTTTCAACACGTTGCAAAAGAACACTAAGAAGAATACTGATTATTTAAGCAATTAAAATTTTAGCAGGCTACTACCAAAATGCTAAAATAAGCCAAAATTAGCACCCAGCTAAAATAACCCGCTATACGGTAAGTACTTTAATTGTTTCACATTGTCAGAAGTGGTAAGTACCATGATAGTCTGTCTATGACGGAAGTGGTCAGCAGATATTGTCATAAGTCTCAAAAAAGTGTTAAATCAAAATTCTGGCAAAGAATTTAATAACTCGTATCAGTAACCTTGAATGCAATTTTAGTCTTGAGAAGAAAAGGTAAGTGATTAAGATCTATTGTCTTTTATCTCACATGTTAATGTGAAAGTACAATTATGTCAAACTCTACTCTGTATTGCTAGAAGAATTTCCTATAAAATGTGACTTTTATTTTTCTGTAGGTGAATGCTAAGATATCAGACTATGGAATTTCCCGGTTTTCCACACCTGATGGTTTAACGGCTCAGGAGGGGACACCTGCTTACAGGGCACCAGAGGTCATCAGGGGAGAGACTTACTCGTTTAAAGTAGGGTCATAGTTAATAGATCAGATTTCTGATTTAATTTGCAGTACACAGATTATCTTCACTAGTTAAGATGTATGGTACATTACGTATGTATTCACAACCTGTTCATTTATCTCTTTGCAAACTGTAATGATTAACAGTTAATTTCAATAACATTTTATGGAAAGATGGGCATAGGCCTCAAGTCAGTTGATTACATTTTAAACTTTGTGTTAAGTTTTGGGATGAATTTATGTAGTTGTAGGGGAATGTAAATGTCTTGTGCTGATTAAGACATTTTAAAATAATACTGCTTGTACCTTAACATCTTACAATCCTCTAGGCTGATGTCTTCTCTCTTGGTATAACACTGTATGCCCTGGTTAGTGGAGGACGTCATCCATTTGATGACTATGATTACAAAACTGAGATGGATCGAGTGATTGCTGAGGTATTGTTGAAAAGCTTAATTAAAACATTTTGATTTTCTTTTTTTATAGACAATTTTCATATTTAAGGATCTGTTCTTGATGATAAATGTAAATGCTTGTTATCAGGGTCATCTAGCACCACCCATAACACAGAAAGGTTGCCAGCCTTGGCCAGACATGCAGACAATAATAACTAGCTGTATGCATCAATCTCCAGACAAAAGACCAACAGTAAGCCTTGTCTTTTCTATCGTATTTATTCTTTAGCAGTTTGTAGTTTTAAGGCAGTAGATTGTTCATACAGACTTGCTTCAGATGCTGGATCTCACCTCATTTTTCAAATGTTTAACCACTTTGATTTTTTAGAAGCGAATCATGATGCATCTAGGGTAGAGCATTACTGGACTTGATTAGGGGGCAGTCTACGTGAAAGTCTTAAAACTTTTACAGGACATAAGGTCTGGTAAAACTATATTTTTTACCAGACCAAGCATTTAATTACCAGACCGACTTTTTTCTTTAAGTTCATACATCATTATGATACTGAGATTAAAAAGGGATGTTAGGGGTGGGGTTAATTCTTACTGTGAAAAATCCAGAGTTATGGATATAAAAAATGGTTTGAATGAAATGAAAAATCCAGAGTTATGGATATAAAAAATGGTTTGAATGAAATGAGCAATCTTACTATTCATAATTTTCCTTTGTAAAAGGTAGTATACAATTGCATGCAATTTCTTTTTCTGGATATGACTCATACAAAAAACACAGTCTCAAAGATTTCTTTAACTTAAAATGCACTTTCAGTATATTTTTTCTGGAAACAATCATAATGGTTTCTCAAGTTTAATAATGAAAATAATTTCCCAACCGATTTACGTATGAGCTATCTATAGATCTCTATTCCATGACAGAGGAAATTCGAATTGGAAAAAAAAAACGATCATGACAGGGGTTGTTATAGATAAAAATTAATCAGGCATTACTGCTAAATGGGTCAACTGCAAATAATGGATATTTGTGGGAAATTGGACCATGTGTACATGTAAATTCAGATTTTTTGGCCTTATTTTTTTAACGGACAAGTCGGTACTGTATTCTGAAATTTTTTACCAGCAGCTACAGATGCACATTACCAGAACATTCATTTTGATTGAGACTTTGCCTTCAGATATTTTTAGAGTTTAGCTTCATAATCTTTGATTGATGGTTTCTAACTGGAGCAATTTCAAGTTATTTTGTATTGTACTGTGACACAAAGTCCTGAATTTTAGTCATTATTAAATCTCCTGCAACCATAATGGTATAAGCCGAATTTAAAACCTCTGATTGACTGATATTGTAGTCACACCAAGTTTGGGAGAGACTGAAGGATCCAGAAATTTTAGGTTTGAAGAGAGTCATCCCAATATCCAAAGGCACAACTGTAGAGTGTTTCACAATTCAGGTACGACTAGAAAAACTTCACTGAATCTGTTTTAGATACATTTTAGGTTGAAGCTTTATGAATATTTATTTATTTTATTTATTTATTTATTTTACAAAATTTATAAAGAGCTAAATATCTTATAATAAAATCACTCTAAAGCGCTGTTCCTAAAACAATATCTACCATTTGCACTACAGTCTTCAGAAAATTTTAAAGATAAACAAAAGCTGCTACCAGGTACTTAAAATTGATGCATCATTCTGACCTTTAGTTAAATAGTTAAAGATAAACAGAAGATACTACTTAAAATTGATGCATCATTCTGACCTTTAGTAAATAGTTAAAGATAAACAGAAGCTGCTACTTAAAATTGATGCATCATTCTGACCTTTAATTAAATAGTTAAAGATAAACAGAAGTTGCTACTTAAAATTGATGCATCATTCTGACCTTTAGTTAAATTATGGAGAAGGTGAAGATTTATAAAATGTAGATTATTTTGCCACCAGGAGCAGGATGATGGTAAGGTTTACCTGTGGGTGGCCAGTGGGGACTGTGACTACGTACAGCTGTCCAGACTGGACTTAATGGACCAAACACCAGAGGTCAAGGTCAGGCAGGATTTTAATTTTGTCCTTATTTATTTAATCTTGATTGGTAATCAAGAATGAATTTATTATATTGAGAGTGCCTGTAGTTTTCATGCTGAAGTGGCTCTAGGTAAAGTTCAATGTTTAAGTCTATTCCTGGTCTTTGTCATTCATATCATACTTCCACTTTCATGTATGGTATATTTGTGGATTTTTATGCTTAATGTTTGGATGCATCACCTGACCTATATTTGATGCTTGAATGCTTGACTGACTCTTTGTGTGATCACCGATGAGCATCAAAGTCTATTCCAGCATCATATATTGGATGCTGCAACTGACCTACAAGATGCCTTAAGTGACTTGGGGAGGGGGTATTTAGCTTGATTCAAGCTTATCACTAGTGAAATACAAATGCAGAGTAATGACTTGTGCATCTTTCATGGATTTCTTAAATGATCTTTTTAGACTATGGTCACAATAGAAATAGGAGAAATAATTCAGCAAAGAACTGATTTCAGTTAATTTGAATGCTAGTTTTTAGCTCTACTGGTCAGAGACCAGAAGAGCTTATGCGATAGTAAGGTGTCCGTCGTCCGTCCGTCCGTCTGTCTGTCTGTCTGTCTGTCTGTCTGTCCGTCTGTCTGTAAACAATTTTTCAAAACACTACTCCTCCTACAGTTTTGGTCCGATTTCAATATAACTTGGCACACAAGTAGACTACACTAAGATACATAATTTAGCGCATCGGTTTTTGATTTCGATGGACGGTGTTGCCATGGTTACTAAAAATAGAAATTTCTGTGAAATTCCTTTAAAACGCTACTCCTCCCACAGTTTTGGTCCGATTTCAATATAACTTGGCACACAAGTAGACTACACTAAGATACATAATTTAGCGCATCGGTTTTTGATTTCGATGGACGGTGTTGCCATGGTTACTAAAAATAGAAATTTCTGTGAAATTCCTTTAAAACGCTACTCCTCCTACAGTTTTGGTCCGATTTCAATATAACTTGGCACACAAGTAGACTACACTAAGATACATAATTTAGCGCATCGGTTTTTGATTTCGATGGACGGTGTTGCCATGGTTACTAAAAATAGAAATTTCTGTGAAATTCCTTTAAAACGCTACTCCTCCTACAGTTTTGGTCCGATTTCATTATAACTTGGCACACAAGTAGACTACACTAAGATACATAATTTAGTGCATCGGTTTTTGATTTCGATGGACGGTGTTGCCATGGTTACTAAAAATAGAAATTTCTGTGAAATTCCTTTAAAACGCTACTCCTCCTACAGTTTTGGTCCGATTTCAATATAACTTGGCACACAAGTAGACTACACTAAGATACATAATTTAGTGCATTGGTTTTTGAATTCGATGGACGGTGTTGCCATGGTTACTAAAAATAGAAATTTCTGTGAAATTTCTTTAAAACCCTACTCCTGCTACAGTTTTAGTCTGCTTCTAATATAATTAGGCATACAAGAAGACTATACTAAAATACATAATTTATTGCATTGGTTTTTGAATTCGATGAACAGTGTTGCCATGGTTACTTAAAATAGAAATTTCTGTGAAATTCCTTTAAAACGTTACTCCTCTTACAATTTTGGTCTGATTTCAATCTAATTTGGCACACAGTTAGAATACACTATGATACATAATATGTATTTCTGTTTTTTTTTATTTGGGTGAATGGTGTTGTCATGGTTACTAAAAATAGAAATTTCTGTGAAATACTTTCAAAACGCTACTACTCCTAGTTTTCATTTGATTTCAATATAACTTGTCACAAAAGTAGACTACATTAAGATACATAATTCTATTTATTGTTGCATGTTGCAATGTGTCAAATCCAAGTGCTACTTTTCTTTTGTTATACAAACAGACCAGTAGAGCTACAGTCTCATCAGAGACTTCTGGTTTTTTTTAATTGAATAGTACAGATTTAAACTTGATTTTGAACAAATACATGAGGCTGTGTGTGGTGGGAAAAATGCACCAATATAGGTTTAAATTTCCATTCGTTGTCTTACATGTAGTATGTTATATTGTAGTCAGATTTAGTGGACATTTCTATGTATTGTAGGGAGCCATGTTTCAGTATGGAAGGATCCTAGCTCTACAGTCTATTAGTCAGGGTTATCTACTGGTTGGTACACAGATGTGCCGAGTCTAGTTGTATCATACACTCACAATAAGATTAAGTAGACTGTTCTATGTATTGTAGGGAGCCATGTTTCGGTATGGACGGATACTGGCTTTACAGTCTATTAGTCAGGGTTATCTACTGGTGGGTACACAGATGTGCCGAGTCTAGTTGTATCATACACTCACAATAAGATTAAGTAGACTGTTCTATGTATTGTAGGGAGCCATGTTTCGGTATGGAAGGATACTGGCTCTACAATCTATTAGTCAGAGTTATCTACTGGTTGGTACACAGATGTGCCGGGTCTGGTTGTATCATACACTAAGACATGAGTTCCTTCATTGTTCTACACTTCTACCTGATGCGGTTCTCTGCATGTTAAGTGTTCATATGTAAGTAATTTTGATATGGTAAATTTATGTACTTATTGATATTATATTTTAAAGCATTCAAATTCATTATCAGTTAATTCTGTTTTTTGGTACACATTCTGTTGAGTATAGAAGAAGAAGAGTAAAATGAACTGGGGTAAGAAGTTGTTTTTCTGTCAATTTACTGATATGCTTTTTGTATTTCAGACCAAAGTCTGAGGACCTGATATTTGTGGGTCTTGCCAATGGTACTTTAGCAGTGTTTCCACAATCAGAAATACTTTATGTATGTATATTTGAATCTTTCTTTGGAAAATACAGTTGAACTGCAGGATTTCAAAACTTCAATATCTCAAATACCATGGATATGTTTTTTTTTTTTAAAACAGTATTTTATTATGATTAAACTTAACTGGATTGGACAGCAGGCACTGCCTAAATAAGTCCTCTCCACAATACAGGTCAAGTTATACATGTTACAAGTAAATATTAATTACATAGCATTGAAAAAATATATACATTTGTATATTCTAAAGAGATTTATTTAAAAAAAAAAAAAAAGACAAAATAAGTAGGGGAAAAAAAAAATATAAATGAGCTGATGATACTACATGTATAAAAGTTTGCATTTAACATATATGACTGATAATTATAATAATACCAGTATAAATGTGAAAGTTAATAAGAACACATAAATAGATGTTGGTTCTGTGGTTTGACAAAATTAAAAAAAAAAGAAACTATATCATGCAAATCTCTTTGTAGATGCAATAAATTCTTGAACAATTTTAAATACAGCAATATTTTGGTTGTAAGTAAGATTATTGTCTCCATTCAAAATAAGTTGTAAGGATATAGGCATTGGTAATTGCAAAGTATTAAAGTTTTGCATAAGGTTTTGCCTTTGTACACAATATTTTGGACATTTCATAAAAAAGTAAAATGATGTTTCAGAGCTATATCCACACATGTCACAATTTTGATCTTCCCTTAAAAAAATGATTAAATAAATCAGCATTTAAATTACTAGCATTATTTCGCAATTGACAATGTAATATATTCATTTTACGACTTCCATAGTTGTAATATTTCTTAGGTTTTAAGCAGTATATATTCTTTATGGCAGTCTTGAATGATGAAAGTGTAGAAAGGTTTTGAATATTAAGGACATACACAATGTAGTTTGAACTTTATTGTCTTTTCCCCTGGAGTTGAAGAGTTCCAATACTTAAAGGAACTGTGTGCTACATTTGAATGTCTATGTATGCTGTTGTACACTTCTTCTAAAACAAGTTTGGATAAATAAAACATCTAGAATATATGTTTAGTAATTTTTGTATATTTTATCTATGAATTATACAAGAATTTTCATCAGTTGATATCTTTTCAAAATCCCTGGTTATGCATGCTGATTTTTTTTCTATGAACATCTGATGGCACTATAATCATAAATTAAGAATATCTTGAAAAATCATCAGTAAGTAAGGTACGTTGCGTATGTCCTTAAAGGGTAAATCATTCCAAAGTCTTATAGTTGAAGGAAGGAAACTTTTCATAAATGAAGTCATTTTGGCTTGAGGAATATGGAATGTAAGATTGTCCTGATTCCTTAAAGGATAGGAATTATGTGGTAAAATGTTTGTATGTTGTTTAACGTCCCTCTTGAGAATTTTTCACTCAAATAGAGACGCCACCACTTGCCGGTGGAGAGCTGCAAATTTTGTCATATACTCGGCACTTACGGCCATTGAGCAGTGAGGGACCTTTTTCTTGCCAGCACCTACTGCGACAGGGGACCTTGGTTTATATGGTCCCATCCGAAGGACCGGTCTCCACGTCCCACAGTGGGATTTGAACCTGCGACGTAAGGATCAACTCCTTACGCCGCAACTCTAGAGCAGACGCTCTAACCACTGCGCCACGCGGGCGACATGTGGTAAAATGCATTGTTGTAATAAATCTTGTAAATACTGGGGAGCTAATCCATACACTATTTTATAAAATAACACTATGTATTTTTCTTCTTATTTCAAGTGTATCCCAGCCAAGATCTTCATAAAGTTTTGATCTTGATGAATTAATCCTTAAGCCTGTTATTATTCGTGCAGCTGCAACTTGAACATCATCTAGTAATTTTGCATCTCTATCAGTACAATTATCCCATACATTGTCTGAGTATTCAAGAACAGGACGAATAAAAGCAAAATATATTTTTATCAAAGCATCCCGCTTAAGGGTGTGCTTTAACATTCTTAAGATATTTAATCGATTACAGGCTTTGGCATGAATATCAAGTATATGGGATCTCCAATTACCATCCTGCTGAAATCTTGTTTCTAAATGAGTATGTGTTTCAACATTTTGAATAGTAGACCAATCTTCACCAAATCTAATTTTTGGATGGCATCTTGTGCACTTCCTTTATTCTTATAGATGGGAGTAATTTGCGCATTTTTCCAAATGTCTGGAAGTTGACCAGTAGCAAGAGAATAATTGTATAGTTTGGTAAGAGGCTTTACTATCGAATTAGCTATATTTTTAAGGATCAAAGGAGACGTACAGTCAGGACCTGGGGGTTTTGTAACATTTATTACTTGGAGCTGATCCAATACTTCCTGCTCTGTAATAACAAAATCATCTAGTGATAAGTTCAATGGTGGCCCCGGTCCATGTAATGATACCTCAGGTTCATTGTAAAGGGTTGATACTCCAGCAAAATATTCATTAAGTAAGTTAGCTTTTTCAATTGGGTGAAAGAATGCATGATTTGATGACTTTAAAGGTGGTGGTGGTTTGTCTTTATTATTTTGTTTGGACAAAGATTTAACTATTCTCCACCATTTTCCAGGGGGTATAGATTTATCTATTTGGTCAGAAAGTTTTTGGCTGAGTCTATCTCGAGAAACTCTTATTTCATCAATGACTTTGTTTCTTAAATTACGATAGTGTTCCCATTGATGAGGGTTTTGAGTTTTGACTGCTTTCTTGTGTATACGATTTCTTTTCCTCATTAGCTTTCTAATAGAATTATTCATAAATGCTTTATCTCTGGGACGAATTGTTATAGTTTTAGTTGGGATGATTTTTAATGCATGTTTTTATTTTGTTTACAAAGTTTGTATTTATCTCGTTGATGTTAGAATTAAAGATTTCATTCTCCCAATTAGTTGCATTTAGTTCATCATGAAAACCTTTATAATTGGCACTTTTATAGTCCCTTATCTTTTATAAGCATACTGTTTCAGTATATGAAATTTAACTTCCACTCCAGTTATAGAATGACTACTACAACATGGAGGATAGACAAAACTCTCATTTATTATGCCAGTGTTGTTGGAAATGATTAGGTCTATGCTTGTACCTAAACTTACAGTAAAATTGGTAGGCTCATGTATCAAATTCGAGAGGCCAAACCTTTGTACGTCAGAGAAGTTTAAATTGTGAACTGTGATCAGACAAGAAATTAACATTAAAATCACCTAATAGAATGATAGGTAAATTACATTCCTGAACCGTTTCAGTATTCAGGGATTTATCAGTACCTTCTCAGGGGCCGAAATTCGGCCCCATTCCCAATTGAAAATGACTTCAATTTTTCCCAATTTGGCAGTATTTTTTCCCAATTGGTGAACAATGCTTTTGTATTTAATTATCTTGGAAAAAACTCAGTAAAATTGTCAGATTGTCTGTAATTTTCCTCTATTTATCTCATTTAGCAAAGCTACAGTCATAACATGTTGAAAAACATTGTAAGCAAACATCGCCGACTTTTAATCCGAATTTCCTCCATTTTTCTGAAAATGATGATATTGTGTAATAATATAGATTTATTAAGCTATTTACACCGAGTCAATTGATCTACGAGTGAATGGTAAGAACTGTAGGCATATATATTTCAGATGGAAAAATATATTTTCAATGCAATGGGGACTTTGAGAAAATGTGTACTTACATGTAGTATGATTTTTTGCAGGAGGTTTATAATCTGATTAATCTCCAGAAACAGATTCTAATCACCTAAATTGGAATCTCATACACACACGTACTACCCTAAGTTGTAAAAATACTTTATACCCATTTAAATCAAATTTAGGTTATTAGTCTATTATTCATTATCATAATTGATCTTGTATGATGAAGTTGGATCATATTTAATTGTCTGTTTGGTTGCATGCTCAAATTAGAGTTCATGCTAAAATGTTAAATGAATTACACCTGAATACATAATGTTAGCAAGGTTTTTATTTTTCCCAATTTCATCATAAAGTCGATAATTTTTTCCCAATTCCCTAAAAATGGCGTTTCCCAAAATAAGCTGATAAATCCCTGGTATTGGAGCAAAAACTGTTCCAATAGTCTGCTAATGAATTGGGTGGCCTATACAATACATCAACAAGAAATTTTTTCTTAATAACGTACTTCTGACCATAGAATTTCTAGATTATTAGTATGCATGGATATGTTGAAGTGCTTTATATATATATTTATATTGAAATACTGTGGTATTAAAGAAAGAAGTTTATGTTGTGTGTTAGGAATCAAATGCCTGCCCAATGTTCCTGTCCCCAGGGAAGAAGCATGAAGCTGTGCGATGCCTGGAGGTAGGAGACAGGGGTAAGAGGGTGTACTGCTCCTGTGGATCAAAGATAGTGATGCTGAGTATCAGAAGGGGCATAGCCTTGGAGAAATCAGTGGAGACCAGACGGGACAGGTAACTATAATGGAGAAAACAGTAGAGACCAGACAGGACGGGATGACCTGGTTTGTCATGTGTATTATACAGTAAAACATGCTTATAACAAAATGCCAAGGATGGACGATTTTGCTTTGTTATAATGTAATTCATTTTATTACATTTTCAACAGTGAAATACTGTAATTTACTTATTGAATAAAAGTGATATTCTGTCAAATTGTGAAAGGAAATCAAAATGGTATTCTCACAGTGTGAGATAATATCAGAAGTGCATCAAAACTCTTGATTTTCCTTCCCTTCAAGAAGATTGCTATTAAAAAAACACTGTGGCCTGTTATAAGATAGAGAAAGTAAATAAACCATCCTGACAGAGACTAATACTGCTGAAGTTTCTCCAATTGTGTTGCTAAAATCCATGTTTACTTACATTGTTTTCAATCTCACAATTGCTAATCTATGGCATCTCAACCGCTCAACTGTGACGTCACAGCCTATGACACTGTGTTAAGAAAAGACAGAGGCAAAGGGAAAATCAAAGAAAGTGTAATAAACAGAAAATTCAATGTTCTGTTGTTGAATATGGAATTTATTTCACTCGTGAGACAGGATTTTTTGATATTTTCACTCATGTTTCGCACTCGTGAAATTTTTTATGGCATCGAGCTCTTGAGCTCGAATGCCATGTAGTGGGCGACCAAACTTTACGCGACCGATGTGTCAGTCCATGCTTCCGCAAAAGAAAATAAGAATAACAATGCATCGATTTGCTTGAAAATGTTCACAGTGAATAATAGCTTGAAAATAAAATTGCATCAATTATATCTACAAATAATATGTTACATAACAAAGATACCCTGTTTTAATTTTTATTTTCACACAAGAAAAACGTTACAGTTCTTGCGGATGAATTTCTGAAGAAAGGCTGTGTTGAATGATATGAATAAAATTTACGAAGAAGAACCATGTAAACACAAACAACTTATATTAATAGGCGGTAAAATAACCACAATATTAAATTTACACGAATGCTAGAAGACTAATAGGATTGAATTTCCAAATGTAAACCTTACTTTTACAATCTTATAACCAATTTTATCATAAAAACTGAAGTTATTACTGTATTTCACCATTTCTTCCATATCCCATTTTACTGTATAGGCCTACCACGCCCGATCATATCTCGATCGTAGTCGCAAGAGAGCGAGTTACGGTTATTGTTTAGATGCACTAAAACAATGCTTAGACATTAACAATTAGAAAAATATTCATATAAATTCATTAAATCCTTGATATTTCTTTAATTGACTGAAAAAAGATGAATTTGATTTCCAGCATGAACGTGTTCGACGGTATCTAGTCAATTTGAACCCTGCTCTATTCGGACCATGGCATAATGCCCCAGACCGTAAATTTGACATTTTGTTTAAAACTTGACATTTTTATTAGTCAATTATTTTATCTACTGCTATCTTTAAATTTAAAAAAAAATGTTTTGAAATTGATTTTCGTGTTCGATGCCATTGAAGCCTTTCAGGCTTCTGATTTAAAAAAAAAAATTTTTTTTAAAAATTCTGTCCCACTCATGAAATAAATTCCACATTTAACTACAAAACATTGAATATCCTCTATATATCAGTTAGGTTCAGAATATGTTTTAAAGCCATGGGAAAGAAATTCACTTTGCTATAAGCTTCAAATCCATATAAGCGTGTTCCCTTTAACCATGTTTTAATGATAAGCCTGACTACAGTGTAGTGACTTTCTGTTTAACAGTACAAGATCTGTGCCTATCTATGGTCTATGTGTCAGCAGTAAGTCCCAGGTGTTTGTCTGTCACAAAGGCTCACCTATCATACAGGTGTGGGAGATCTCCAAGGAAATGCTCAAAGCACAGTTTGACGTCTCCCCTCTGGTTGGGTGAGTAGTTTGTATGAAGAGGACAAATACTACATACTTATGATTTTACATTTTGCGGCCCTATTAATTGCTTACGTTTATATTTCTACCATAAAGAAGTGTGCTCTAGGAAGGCTTATTATGATTAATCCAGTTTTCAATGAATCACAAATCTGCCCTTTAGTTATTTGCCTTGAACTGTGTTTTTGGACAGACTAAAGTCGACACAGTGTAGGCTTACCTCCCTTGCCTTACAAGAAAATCATGGAATTAGAGAACTGAATCATGGAATATTGTGGGCAGGGACTGGAGATGGCAGAATAATACTTATCGACAGTAAATGGGGGAAATCGATCACTTCCTGTCATAGGTACCGTGGCCCTGTACGTGCCCTGAAATCTTCCTTTTGTAGAAGTAAGTGTACAAGAATTCAATAAACATTTACAGTTTATTATTCCAGAGCTTTAATAAATGCTTCTGAATCAATCTTTGCAGATTGATAGGAAAAGATGAGCAAATGGGAAATTAGAATGTGAATAATCACAGATAATAATCAGATGTATAGCAAAGTCCTGGGGATTTATGAATTTACTTGCTATATCCATAATTTGTTATAATGAATTCATTAAAGTATATATAGTGAATTCGCAGTATTCATATTTTCCTTCAAGTATGACTAATGAACATGTTCGGATAAGTACAGACCCTGAAACGTGCTACTACCCCAAAAAAGCGTGTAACTTTCGTGCGCTTTTCGTTTCGTGCAAACCGTGTAGCGTTTCGTGTAAACCGTGCAGCGTTTCGTGTAAGCTCCAAAGCGTTTCGTGCAAACCGTGTAGCGAGCGTGCGAGAAGCGTGTGAGAAACGTGCGACTTTCGTGTAAGAACCGTGCGACTTTCGTGCAAGAATCGTGTGAGAAACGTGTAGGATTCATTCGGAAGTCATTTCATTTTAAATATGGCTATCGATGGGTCAGGATGTCAAATAGTGTTGTTTATAGCTAATATAATTCGGAGATATTATACTGGATGTATTTTAAGAGTGAAATTAAAAAAAAGTATGAGAACAACAAAATAAAATTACACGGTAATGTATATTTAATTTGTTTTTCTTTATTTTTTCTCTCAAAAATAAAGATGGACAGGAAATTTATTGAAATTAATTATATGTAATTACAGTGTTTGTGCAACATTTTTAATGAATTGATTTTAATGCACAATCGGAGTGATCATATCTTTTTTATTTTATTTTCCAAAGAAAGCAACAAACCAAATTTCAAACGAAATTTTATCAGGACTCCGCTCTTGTCTATTTATTACCAGATTGTATAAAATAATTTTAATCAAAACTGTGTGTCATTAATAGTCTTCTAACACAAAGCATTGGTTTATTAATAATTGAAAAATATGAGTATAATTCACATGCATTTACGAACGCAGGATTAGAAATTACCGAGGGGGGGGGGGCGCATTTCAAAAACGCAAGCTTTAAATTTCAATATTTGTCGGTACCGGGTGTTAAAAAGCATAATTGTTTTGTATAAAGAAATAAATACTTAATTTATATGGTGCATCGGATGCACCACTTAAAATATATTGGAATATTTAAATCTTCAACTTCCCATTTGCAATGTGCGAATGTGATCAAGGTCATTTACGACAGCAACCATGGGCTCCACGAGCAGGGAATTGAAAACTTGTTCTGCTTTTATCTTTTATCAATCATGTCTAAAGTACACCCGAGAATAACGATTGAGTTTAAATTTGTGATATTAAATGCTTATTTTTTGTTTTTTTTAATATTTAATTGGTACACATAATACCCGTGGATTTTATCTTTAATCGACCCGAATTTCCGTGATCAGTGGATTGTTCGGCAGTCACAATATAAAAGAGTTTAGAAATAAATTATAAATAACAATTACATATCAGTTGTCTTATAAATCAGGCAGCTTTAATTTGTATTTTTACTTTAATATTTGAGTTTTCATATAATGTACTTGGATATGTATACACGAATATTGGGTAAGTTGTGCCGTGACTTTTTGTAAATTACATAAAATTTCCCCTCTACCGAGTTTTATAATGAAGGAATTTACAAGGTGATGGGAACATGTATATTGTTGTCATTTTAGGTACATGTAGAGAGAGCTAATTATCCTTTATACCCCCTCCCCGCGGGTTTTTCTTCCATTCTTCCATATAGAATTCTAATGTTAAATTAAACCCTATGATATAAAACGTTTAAATGTTAAAACTACCATTTGGTATAAAATGTTTTATTTTATTAAATCTCGCTGGAGACATGAATATTCTTAAGCACAGTTACTTGTTTTTTAAATAATTTTTTCCCGATAGTATAATTACTGAAACGACTGCCGTTGGCTTTTAGATTTGTCAGATTTACAGATACACAAGTAAGATCTCGGTAATCCCCCCCCCTCCTCGCTCCCGACCAAAAGAGAGAAAGAAAGAAAATGCATAATCATCTTCTTTTCTGCAATGTACTTATTAATTCTGCATATTAAAGAGGTGGACCTGAATTAATTAAATAAAATAAACTAACTGCTAAATCATAAGAAAATCGATCCGTTCACGGAAATAAACACAGTATAATATTTATTAAAATTAATTACTAAAGTTAGATTTCGCTAATAAACGAGTTTTTAATATAATACATGTACTTAAAAAAAATTATGCCGAAAGAAATAATGAGGGGCAAATATAAATATTTCTCTTGCAGTGTAATATTTAGAGAAAAAAGGATGTACACTGACGATGATGGGCATATCACCTTAAAACAAGTGGATTACAAACAGAAAGAAAATCATGAATTATTAACTACCTAACTTGGAATATTTCTATCAGTTTATAAACATGTAGTACAGGAGTAGCGAGTTTTAATTTAAATCGTACTGTGAACGATTGCGACTCTTAATTAATCTATATTTAACCCGTAAAAAAATAATGCCCGAGAGATTCCGAATAGAAAATCCAGATCGAGGCCAAAGCGTGCGAGAATCGTGTACAAAGCGTGTGAGAAACGTGTACAAAGCGTTTCGTGCAGCCTTTCGTGTAAACCGTGCAGCCTTTCGTGCAAAGCGTTTCGTGTAAACCGTGTAGCGTTTCGTACAAACCGTGTAGCGTTTCGTGTAAACCGTGCAGCGTTTCGTGCAAACCGTGTAGCGAGCGTGTACCGTTCGTGCAGCGTGCGTGTGGGGTAGTAGCACGTTTCAGGGTCTGTATTATATCAAAACTGACCTTGGAGAATTAAAGTTTTCTAATCATGATTTAGATTTTAAATATAAACCTGAATTATCAAAGTGCATTATTGATTGGGGAAAAAATTAGTATGTATGTCTCAAAGATGTCACAAACTATAAGGATTGCCCTTCTATTTTAAATTGAAAAATTTTGTTTGATTCTTACTTAAGTTTTTATAGAGCCTGAACTTGCTCAGGAAATATTTTCACAAATTTCATTGATATTATCATTCCAGATTATATCAAAAGATGGAATCTAAGCAGACCTGGCATCCATATTTTCTTATCAAATCATTGATACAAAATATGCCATTTTCTTTCAAATTCATTGAAATGTTGAATTTATGTCAATCATGGATGAAAATGTTTAATGCTTTGAAGTCTGCACACCCATGTATATATCCTCTTGGCTTAGAACATAATTTGAGATTTCCCCATCAGAGTTTGATTTTGGGAAGGGGCTGAAAAAGATTTTTCATGTACCGGTACTTGCCCATGGACGAGTACATGGTCAAAATTCACTTCCCCTACCTGTCTGTGAATTTTTACTTGCCCCACCATAAACTATAAAAAGTAGGAAGATAAGAAAAATGATTCTTGTAAGTGCCCATTTCAACTTAAAACTAAGACATTATTTTTTTCTTGAAAAAGTCATTTGCCCTTGGGCAAGTGGTTAATAAAAATTCACTTGTCCATCTCCAAGATTCACTAGTCTTGGGCGTCGGGCAGTGGGATTTGTCATCCCCCGTGGGGGACAAATAATAGCTAATGATTACCGAATAAAGTCCTTTATTGATCAACAGGAGCCATTGTGAGACTTAAGAATTGCATTATGTTAAGATGCTGAAATATTTTAGAATCCTAGCAGGAGTGTCAAATTACTTTTAAAGGTGCTTGGACACAGATTTGAAGTTAATATTTTCTCAAATTTTCTGTATAATTTCATGACTTATATGTTGCTATAGCATTTCATACTAAAATATAATATAAATCTTATTTCATCTCGAAGTTATTGAAACTTCGAATTTCTCGACGCGTTTGATTGACACATCCTTGCACTTTCTCAAATTTTAATTTTATTCTTAATACTTAAGAAAAGTGGCAATTTTGTTGTGTGTTAATGAAAAATATAAAAACTATAATCCAGAAAATTCAGAGTAGAAATGTTCGAAAGCAAAACCCACTCACAGTATTGTCAGTCCGTGCTCAGTGGTGTGTGCAGACTTTAACAATTGAACACACTCGGTGAATCGTAAACATTAACAATAACAGAGCTCGTGCCCTGTTCACAGAAACAGTTTCCGTTTCACGGGTGTATTCAATTTGTTAAACTCTGTACACAACACTGAGAACGGGCTGACAATATTAGTGAGGGGGTTTGTTTTCGCACATTTCTACTCTGAATTTTCTGGATTATAGATGTAATTTTTTTCATTAATACACAACAAAATCGCTTCTTTTCTTAAATATTAAGGATATATATATATAAAGACAAAATTTGTGAAAGTGCAAGGATGTGTTAATCAAATGGGTCCAGAAATTCGTAGTTCCAATAATTTCCAGATAAAATAAGTTTTTAATTATATTTTCGTGTGAAATGCTATTGCAATATATAAGTCGTGATATTATACAGAAAATTTGAGAAAATATTAACTTCAAATCTGTGTCTAAGCACCTTTAAGGTATATGTTTACCCAGTGGTAGTGATTTTTCTTACAATAAGTGCCTTGTATTGAGAGGTTAAATTATGTCTGATTACAGGTAACAAGCATGAAAAGGAGAGATTTTCTGGTGTTCTCAGTGGTGGATTTGGTTTTAATGACAACTCTGGTGAGAAAACAACAAATGACAGAGGTAAATAGTAGAAAGGGGACAGACTCGATCTCTTTAAAATTATTATGTAGATTTAAAATTATTACATAGATGTATTTACAGTTTAAATAATTGTCCCCAGCTTTCACTGAAAGTGTGGGATATTAATTATGTCTCTCCGTTGATTGGGAGATCAAAAGGTCAATGTCATAAATTCATACATTCTGTAGGTGTGTAGCTTTTTCATTTTTGGGTGATATCTCAAGAAACCTTTGAGATTTTGCCATGAAATAATATATCACAACTCCCCATGGCCTAAGAAAAACATATTGATTTTGAGGTCAGATGTCAAGGTCAGAAAATTATACTGCATGTATAGATTTCAGATGATTATTTTAGTTTTTCTGTAAGCTTTTTTTGCGGCGAAACTTAATTTTGGTCATGAATATCTTAAACTTTAAAAAGACTTCTATTGACTTTAAGGCCAAAAGCTGAAAAGTCAAGGTTGAACTTTTTTCTTTCTCCATCTGCATAATTTTTCCAGTTCTTCCACCCTCTTCTTTTTTAGCTCACCTGAGCCGAAGGCTCAAGTGAGCTTTTCTGATCACATTTTGTCCGTCGTCCGTCCGTCCGTCTGTCTGTCTGTCTGTCCGTCCATCCGTCTGTAAACTTTTCACATTTTTGACTTCTTCTCGAGAACCACTGGGCCAATTTTAACCAAACTTGGTACAAAGCATCCTTGGGTGAAGGGGAATTTAAATTGTTAAAATGAAGGGCCAAGTCTCCTTCAAAGGGGAGATAATCAAGAAAATACAAAAATTGGGTGGGGTCATTAAAAAATCTTCTTCTCAAGAACCACTGGGCCAGAAAAGCTGAAACTTACTTTGAAGCATGCTGGGGTAGTGTAGATTCCAATTGTTCAAATCATGACCCCTGGGGCTAGCTCGGGGCCACAATAAGTACTACGGGGGGGGGGGGGGGAAATCAGGTGAAAAACAGCAAGGCCAAAGTTACTCAGGTGAGCGCTGTGGCCCATGGGCCTCTTGTTCCTTAAGCCGGGGACACAAATTCTCTGAATTAGCTTGTTTGATAAAATGTGTTCAATCTATCTGTTGCAGATGATGAATGTGGCTGTGTGCTTTTGTGGGACAGAGAGTTTGGGAGGATTGCGAAAGATTTGGAGTTTGAGGTTAAAAGGCGAGCTTTGTACGTAAGGGGCTCGCAAGAGGGAAAGATGAGTAAATCTTTGGAGAATGTGCTGTATAAATCTGTGTTACAACAAAGCGGGAGCACTAAGTCACTTCTGGACAACGTCCATTGTTTAAAGGAGGAGGACATTACTGAGGTCAATCAGGGGTCACCTCAAGTTAATCCAGGGTCACCTCAAATTCATCAGAGATCATCTCAAGTTAATCCGGGGTCACCTGAAGTTAATCGGTCATCACTTCAAGTTCAAAATGGTGATGAGAAACGGCAACATCCACCAGAAAATGAAATGTTTGATTCTTTATGAGATTACCTTTGCTTTTATAATCATTCAGACAAGAGGCAGCCTGGTGTGATGTTTTTTTGTATTTTTATTCTAGGGTAGTTTGATGATTCTTTAAAAGAAGTCAGTTCTTGATATTTTTAATATTGCCAAAACAGAAAATAGCACTATCATGTAGTATCCTTTCTGCTTCATGTATAGAAGTAAACTTTGCTTCATGTAGGGTGTTTGTTTTATGTTTTATATATATGATCTATCTCTTACATGGAGGGGATGTCAACAAAATTTATCATAACCAATGTAATCATGGAGATGTGTGCATCTGTCATTATCCAACCTGTCCTTGATACCCATCTGTCACGTTTGTTTACCCCTAGTTCAAATCCCACAATATCTCAGAAACCAAAAAGATTTGACACAGTGGATTAAAAAATGGCTCCCCAAGCGAGCAAAAACATAATTTGTAGGAAAGTGGTAGATTTTTTAACAAGAGTAGTATACTTCCACTTAAAGCAGTAGAGTTCACGTGTAAACTGTTTGTTTTTATTTTTTCAAAAAATGGCATAATTGTATCTTTTTCTATACCTTTTTTCACTGTGTATATAATATGTATATAATTTTAAAAAACAATTGACTCTAATACATGTAGATATTTATTCTGATGGTTGTATGATTAAGCATATGACATTGAGTGCAAATTGTTTGTGTAATTATGAAGTACAAAATTTGTTTTGTTCATTTTCAAAGCAACAATTTTTTTGGGGTCTAAAAATTTTTTTCTGATTTTAATATACATGTATTTTGTAGTAAACTTTAACATCATGGCAGTTGTGATTAAATGCAAGATATATTCATAGTGAAATATTACTGACTTTGAGATATTTAATAACAGATGTAAGAAATACTGATGTAAGTGATGTTGAAAATCATGTTGATGGTAATTAAGTGACAAACACAGTTAATACATTCTTTTTACATGTAATCTTATATAAATACTGCATGTAGTTGAAAGTAACATTGAAAATTTTCACCCCTCGAAAACCATTGTCAACCGAGGCGCAGCCGAGGTTGACAATGGTTTTCGAGGGGTGAAAATTTTCAATGTTTCACTCAACTACATGCAGTATTTATTATATTATACTGAATGTTTTATACAAATACATATTACAGTGAACCTTGCACGCATAAATTCTGCGCAGTCAATAATTTTTGGAATAACACCCGTCATCAAGCAATGTTAACTGTTGCTATCCTGGAGGGTGTGGCTTCATTATTCAGCGGGTGATAGTAATTTTTAACAAATATTTCTCGACGAATCAGATTAAACTAATTTACATGAAAGTATAATGTATGTAATTATGTATTAGTCTATGTCTATAGTATTGTAGTTTATATGTAAATATATGTTTGTCTATGTCTATAGTCTAATGTATGTACTACATGTTAATATTTATTCTTTGTGGAATACAGAACCAAAAGAAGTGCAATATTGTATACAGTTGAACTTCAGTATCTTGAACACTGATATCTCGAATACCATGGATATGTCAAAGTGATTTGAGAGTCCCAAATGCTTATTCCTTAAGTAATTTACCTTTGGATATCTCGAATCCTTGGATATCTCGAAGTATTTTCTTTGTCCCACCGAGTTCCAGATAACGAGGTTTGACTGTAGCTATAAGAGTACGTAAGACTCAAAGGAAACATTTTCTTTCACTTTTCTTTGTTATTTTTTTAAATATACATTTTGTTAAACTGTGATTTGTTCTTGCTGAATATTTCAGGGAAGAAGTTGAAATTTCAAGTATACACAAGTTAATCTATATACCATGGAGAAATATAATAAAAAAAAATCAATTTACATTGAAATTGTTTGTTTTCTTGCTAAAATTATTAGAGTGCAGCTTTAAAAAAAGTCTTGAACCTTGAACCAGTTTGACTTGTATTTCACAGTGACAGATCCAACTGTCTAGGTCAAAGGTTAAGACAAAAACGAATCTCTGTAAAGTCCTCATCCTTAGCATTTATCTCCCCTTTGCTTAATCAGGTTAGTGTTCTTTGGTATAGGTTGTGCAGTTGTAAGTTTAAAAGTAAATGTCAAAGTACTTTTTTTGGTAAAATCCATCTGGATAAAATCCAAACAGCATTAGGGCAATACTGGCTCATAGTTCAACCATAAGTACCTCATGTAAAGGGTATATAGTGCTTGAACCAAGTATGGTAAAAGGTCAAGTTCAAAAAGTATTTCTATGTTGAACACTTGTTTGGACCATATTTTTCTTTACCTCAAGCTTTGTTCCTATCTGCCTAATATTTCATTGAAAGAGTGTCTGGATACAGATTTAGCAGTGACCTTTACATGTAACAAGGGTCTGGATACAGTTTGCAGTGACCTTCAGCAAGTGTCTGGATACAGAGTTAAGAGTGACCTTAAACAAGTGTCTGGATACAGAGGTAGCAAAGATCTTAAAATAAAATTTCTAGGTTGATGGTCATGTTGATATTTGCATGAAATCTTTTGGTGGGTACAATTTTTTTACCCTTGGGCCAATTCAGGTCATATTTAACGGTGACCTTGTTCCAAGTGGCTGAGTTAAAGTTCAAGGTCAAACATAATTTGTCCAGAGCATGTCTTTTCCCATAACATTTACTAAAAGTGGTGCCCTTTTAAAGATGGATGCCATCTCGAATATATCTACAGTAAATCTGGAAATTTATACAGTCAATAGATTCTTAACAATTTTGTGCATGCATTGCATTTGCAAAAATATTTTTCCTAAAAATATAACAGCAAAAAATAAATCATGTCGGTTACAATGAATTTTAATTTATACTTGAATGTAAAACTCTTTTTCTTATGAAGTTTACATCAATCTTTTTTTCTTTTTTTTTCAAAAAAAGATGATCTTAAATAATGTATTTTTCAACTCAAATGAACTTAAATATTTTCATTCTTAATAATTTAATCTGAGGGTTTGTTTACATGATTTGATCCTTCACTTCTGATACGTAACATTACGATCTGACACTAATTTAGAGACAACAGTAATGAGTAAGACTTTGTCAAACAATCGATCACAGCACCCCTCAAATTTACTGATTACTGATCTACAGCTCAACTGTCTTATCTTGTCTCCCTGAACTATCTGTGCTCTGATTCCCATTGCTCGCGTGCTAAAATACCATGAATTTCTCTGAATACATATAAACAGAAATGAATGACTAAGGAAAAACAAAGGACACACCTTTCAATTTAGCCAACATGTATATATAGCAACAATGTGAATTTGTAAAAGAACAAGGATTTGATTTGCATTTGGCAGGAATCTGGGTAAATTAAAAATTTCATTGATCTGTCACAAGAAATTTTAACTTTCTTTTTGATGTATTGGGTTCCTGTGAAGTAGGGAAGGGAAATATTTTCCTGATAATGTGTTTTGATTTGAAAATAATTGACAACATAAAGAACATTTCAAGCTTTAAGGTAGCTCAAAAATGTCATAATTATCTCAAGCACAGTCACATTTCACAGCTAAGCCCTTAAAACCAACAGACTTTGTAATCCAATGATAATATGTAACACTTGGCATAGGTTTTATTTTCTATAATTCATAAATTCTATGTTAAAACTTATTTAATGTTTTGTAGTGAAGTACAACATAAATGCATGTATACAGTATATATTAATGATTACAAATGTTTTTTAATATTTTTGTTTTTTTATAAAACATAATTTATATATAGCATCATTTTTCTGAGCAATAAAGTTAAGACAAACACAGGGGTCTAGGAAGGGAGGTACCAAACTTGTGGAGATGAGCTGCATTTTTGGCCTCAAACAGTGCCTGTGGAGAAAATATTTAAAATGATACTTCATAGTGATACTGTAATAACTTATTTCTGAATAATGTCATATGCTGTTTTTGCTATTGTCACAATAAAACTGTATTAAAACACTTAAGAGTTGCAATCTTTTAAAGTAATATATCAAATGAATTAAGATTTATGTCATTTTCATAACTATAATTATTTTTCAGATGAGAAAAAAAAACTTTTGTAATTACTTAAAATCCCATGTAAAATAAACATACTGGATTATCTATATAATGATTACACCTTTAATTAACATACCGGATTATCTATATAATGATCACACCCGTAATTAACATACTGGATTATCTATATAATGATTACACCCGTAATGTACATACCGGATTATCTATATAATGATCACACCCGTAATTAACATACCGGATTATCTATATAATGATCACACCCATAATGTACATACCGGATTATCTATATAATGATCACACCCATAATTAACATACCGGATTATCTATATAATGATCACACCCATAATGTACATACTGGATTATCTATATAACGATCACACCCGTAATGTACATACCGGATTACATAATGATCACACCTTTAATTAACATACCGGATTATCTATATAATGATCACATCCGTAACACCAGACAGACAGGTCCGAGAAACTGAGGCACATCAGGTGAGTCTCCATTACGCCATGCATCAGCATGTGTTCATTGACAAACCGGCTACAGTAAATCTGAAGAAAAAAATTAATTTGTCAGTAGAGTTATCTATCTTTGGATGAATTGGCTTTGTAATCGGCTCTCTATACTAGTAATGAACCAGGAAGGGAGAACATACAACAGAACAGAACAGGATTCAAACCTGTTCCCCCTGAACTCTAGACAGGGGCTCTACACACTGGGCTATCCAGCCACCAGGGATAGAATCTGTCAGACAGCCGCATTAATATTGATATGAACATAAACTGGACCATTTTTCCTTACCCTATGCTTGATGTAAATCAATGTAAAAACACTGGAATTAAGAGACGATTTTTACCTTGTAACAGACCAAACATGTCCAGTTCTCGGACAAATCTCCGCAATCTTCACACGGGGAGCCAGTATCTATCCGACCCCGGGGGACAGGGGTTACCGTCTCCAGGTGTGGACACCAGGGAAGGGGGGTCACAGCAAACATTTGGGTGTGTCCCTGTAAAAGTTACATGTATATGCACACAAATGGAAATGCACATCAACACTGTTAATAATGTGTTAGAAAGCAGTAAGCTACCCTCCATCCCCCCTTTTTAAAGATATGTACACTTAATAAGAAAATCTTGTTGCTATTATCAAAAAATAATCAAAACAATATCTATTTAAAGATTTATTATTTTCACTACCATAATGAAAATAACATAATAATGGCCTATGTTCCCATGGAGTGAACAGGAATAAGTCATTAGTAAGTCAATGCTTGTATAAATTAACAATAAATCTAAAACAAAGAAAAAACCAGATAAATTTTACTTAAAAACAAAGCTTAACAATATGAGTATTTCGTGTAATAAAACTTCAAAGCTACATAAAAAGTATTAAACCCAGGCAATCTGAAATTTTGTTTAGTTATCTAAGGTATAAATGCACGTACTAAATTGTCCCTTCTGGGTTTCTAAGGAACACACATGCACAGAAAAGAATGGTATTTTAATTCTAATTACCTTCTACTTTTTTGTTATTTCAGATGCATCTCTGAAATGTTTATTTTCCTCCAACCTTTCTCTGACTTCCTTAATTCTCAGTTTATATAAACAGTTAACAGTTGATGATAAAGAATCCTTCAATGGTCACTGGTTAGGCATTGATTTCTCAAAAAATGGACTAATTGTTTAGTCTGAAGAGAATATGTCTCACACCTTTATGTACTTTTATTATTAAACTATATAATTCAAACCAGACTAAAAAGAGGCCCATGGGCCACATTGCTCAAATTTTATTGCTCTGAAAAGCAGAAATCAGTTTAGTACTGATAACATTTAATCTTGATACAGAGTTTACAGACTGTTTTCTTGATGAGTGTTTGTTTAGTATATTTCTGTCTACATTATTTTGTAATGTGGCAGAGCCACACTCTTGATTTCTTATTTCTTTTTTTGTATGTGGAATTTCTCCTTTTCATTTTAAAAATAATTCTTATTTAATTATATTAATTTTTACATTGTGAAAATTTTATTATAATATTATATCCTCAGTAATGAAAATAATTCTCTAAAATGACAACCTGACATTTTTTAAGCATAGCATGACCTTTGAGCTATGACCTTGAGTCAAAATCAGGACACATCTATAGTTAAACAAAATACGCACATGTGCTTAAGAATTCAATTTATCCAATGAGGGTTTGAGAGTTTCAGCCTGATCATGTTTTTGTGACAGACAGATAGCTTGAAAGACAAACATACAACCATATATTCCCCCTGGAAGAGATAAGAGTTCTTTGACTCCTCACTTCTACAATCATTATAATTACCCTACATTCTAAATACATTTTTCATCCAAACTTCTCTTGCTTACTACACCTGAGCCTCCAGCTGCCTTAAAACCTCATTAGCTGAGACTGGTGACGCCTCTGGGGCATCGCTCCCTCCCTCTGCCCCTAGTGACTGCCCTCCTCCAGCACATACTGTGGTTGGATCCTTTTCAACATTATTCCCCCCTGGACTATCTCCCCCTCCCATTCCAGACTCCTCTGTTCCTCCACAATAAGTCTCCTGGGACAGTCCTTTAGTTTGGTCACTCCCACCTAACACTGACTGCTCTGGGACAGCACTTTTTTCTCCTTTCAGTGGCTGCTCAGTATGGACTTTTTTCTGCTCAACATCTTCTTTGTGGCCAAATATAAGTAATAAATAGTGATAACTATTAACATATTGACAAAAAGTGATTAATATTGAAAACATTCCCAAAAAAAATTTTTTCAAAGGTGTTTATATAAGGATACAATGTACTCATGGAAAATAAAATGTTCTCAAACATGTTTTATATGGGAGAAAGGTTCAATAAAAATACATGTATTTCTAACAAGAACAATCCTTTAACAAAATGCAGTAAATTTACATCAATTTCCTACCTGTATCCTCTGTCACATTTTCTACCACAACGACATCCTCCCTGGGATTTTCTGTGTCCTTGAACACTGAAATTTAATATTAACTGCTTAGCAGCTAGCTATTACATCCTTCAACCTACATCTAAGCCTTGAATTTAATTCAATTTAAGTCTCGGCCTCTTGAGCAGAGGAAGTAATTTGAAAAATAAGTAATTATTTTAGGATTTTCTTCACAGATGCCTCCAATAGTAATAAATTGTTATGACTTTATGTGTAAACTGAATCAGTAGTACAATCTAATCTTCTCTCATTAGAACACTGAATGTATGACAAATTTAAAGATGGCTAAGCCATGTACATTGAGGAATAGCTCTCCATGTTGTAACACGTACTTCTACATCAATTAAAATTTGATGTAAAAACTCTCTATTGATTTGTATTATGTAATGTGAGCTAATGCGATTCTTTAAGATCAGATCTGAGAGTTTTACATTAGATAATGGATGATTAAACTGTCTGTTCTTCCTATTCAATGTTTCATATAAATTCGCTCTATGAAGTCTCTGTAATTATGTTGAATACAAAAAAATCAAAGTCAGTAGACAGACATCAGAGGTCTATTCCGTAAAATCCTTCAGCTGTTTAACCAAGCATTAATCAGTGTTTACATGTGACATCTTTCATTTACCCCCCCCCCCCCCCCCACACACACACACACAGTTTGCTTCATATATTTTACATTCATTATTACTCATAAGACTCCTCTAGTGGCTATTTTGCCAGTTTTTTTTTCTAAGCAATGGTAATTTGTGTTTTATGTGTCAATATGCCACAAAACTTTTTTTTATTCAATCATTTTTTATGCAAGCATATGTCTCCCCCTTTCAATGTCCTTGACAAAGAAAAAAAATCTAAGACCTTGAGTCAATATCTTGATAATTTTTTCTGTCATATGAAATCAAACAAGTTTGACTTTTTTTTCCAATCAAAGTTTTGAGAGATGTGGATAAGATCTCATTTCACAACTTCCCAAATGACCTTGACCTTTGAGATAAGCTAAAATTTGAATTCAGTGCAATCATTTTTTTAAAGATATGCTTTTGATATATGTTCACTATCTCAAAGTTCAACATCCTTGACAATTATGATAGGATCTTGGGTAAAAATAAACTAGTTTCAATTCACTGTGATGATGGAATTGAGAATTACTGATTGGACATCTCAGTTACTAACAGTGACCTCTAATATATCTATTGTCTCAAGATTAAAGATAAAGATATCAAACTTTGACTCCAGATATTGACACATTACCATTACTTACCTTTTACATCCTTTAATTACCACCTCTTCCCAATTACATCCTTTAATTACCAGTGCTTACCAGTTACATCCTTTAATTACCAGTGCTTACCAATTACATGCTTTAATTACCATTACTTACCAGTTACATCCTTTAATTACCATTACTTACCAGTTACATCCTTTAATTACCATTACTTACCAGTTACATCCTTTAATTACCACTACTTACATCCTATAATTACCCATACTTACCAGTTACACCCTTTAATTACCAATACTTACCTGTTACATCCTTTAATTGCCAAAACTTACCTGTTACATCCTTTAATTACCAAAAATTACCTGTTACATCCTTTAATTACCAATACTCACCTGTTACATCCTTTAACTGTTCAGCCAGTTCATGTATCTTCTTCATGTCTTCATCTTCTTTTTGCCTCTCTCTAAAATTGCAATAAAACTCTGTGAGAAATAAAAGTGAACCTACTGTTAAAAAGAGCATCAATTTAAAACAGGTATGTAAGAAAAATTAATACAGTAATTAGACTCTGTCTGAATGTCTTCTTCAATCATTCTCTATGCATGTAAGTGAGTACAATTAAATATACAAAGTTATAGTTTACATCATGACAACATATAAAAATGTTGAAGGAGGAACTGATGAACATGGCATAGTGGTAATTATGCCATATATATACATATAATTTGTAGAGTCTATAAAAGAGTCAATGTAAGATTTTCAGGATAAAAGCTGCTTCAAAAAAGTATAACCATTGCATGAACACTCATCAGGAAAGTCAACACATTATTCCTGAAATGAACCACTGTTCAAGATTTGATAAAATACTGTAGATTCCTTATTTAACGCGAGTACTTAATATCGCGAAATGGTCCAAGGGCGTCAAATTGCGAGAACAAAAATTCGCGAATCGTTGATTTATCTAAAGATTTTACATACATTAAAGCACGATAAAAATAAAAGCGAGTAATTTTATTTCGCGAGTGGTGCTTCTCGCGTAGTTACGCGATAATTTATTCCTCGCGTATATTTAGGAATCTACAGTACTTATTATAAAAAACTACAACATTTTGTAAAGGAACCTGGTCATTGATTTATTTGAGCTCTTCTAGAAATCAAAAGGCACCTGCATACTTGAACATTCTGATTGTATAGTGTACACACATGTACTCCAAATCTGATATTTAAAAGATGCTTGAGTTTCTAATTGACAATATCTATGTAGTTTTTGGATATCAGGTCTTCCAACAATCTTTCGGAATTCCCATGGGTACAAATTGTTAGCAGACTTTTTTTGTATTCGTATGAATCAGAATTTATTCAAGAACTTCTACATGAAATGAAGGAAGTTTCTTGCTGTGGCCTTCAATTCAACATTTAGATAAATTGATGACATTTTATCAATAAACAATAATTCATTCCTACACCGATTCAATATATCCCAATAGAAGATACCACAGAGTCTGACACATCTGTTTCGTATTTCGATATTTTACTAGAAAAAGATGTTAATGGTGACAAGAAAACTTTGTGATAAATGTGATGACTCTAACTTTTCTATCATCATCTTCCCGTATTTATGTAGCAATATACCAGTATCACCTACATATGGAGTTTATGTCTCCCAGTTGATTCCATATGCAAGAGCATGCTCTACATATGAACAATTTCTAAAATGTCTCAGGCAAGCTATTGACAAATAATTTGATGAAACAAGAATATCAACAGTCATTTAATAAAGTCAACATTTCACAAATTCTATGGTTGATACAATATATGACCTTGTCAGCAAATACAATCTTGCTCTTATAGTAAAGTACTTATGTACAAAATTGGAAAACATTTCACTGAAAGCTGTTTAAAGTTATGACATCACAAGAAAAGTGTAGACAGAGAAACAGAGGAACCCTATCATCAATGTTGAGGGACTCTAATCAGTTATTGCACATTTACAAAACTAGTAATGGATCAGCAGATCAAAGTCAGTTATAAATCAGTGAAAAATGTACACATATCATTCCACATTATAACTGCATATATATGTGTACATGCCTAAATAAATATATATCAATGTTCTACTCCGTCAATGCCAGTCTAGAAATTGCTTTTCCATGTATCTATGTAACAGCTAGAGATCATTGAACCAGGCAGTCAAACTGAATATTATCACGTTTTATATTTCTTTAGATTATGAAGTCTTCTGACTTTCACATTAATCACTCTGCCTAAGTCTCCCTTTTCTTTTCTTTATTGATTATAAGTTCCCTGTAGATTAATTTACAACTCTGACAGAGCTTTGATTAGACCCTGTAATAGATATAGATGTGTCATATCTGATTGCTTTGCTGTATGTAGCATGTCTTCATTTTCCATCTCATGGACAATTATACACTTAAATTCCAGAATCATTCTGGAGAATTCCTGATTTAAACTAATAAGATCCAAGTGATTGTTTCATGAGAATGTTAAGGATGATCCTTGATTGCATGGAAGCTACTGGTAAATTGGAAGATTTTATAAGGTCAAACCTTTGAACTCAAACTCAATGGGACTAAGGAAAATCTTTGAGATATCCAAGGATACAAGACATCAATTTAGTTAAAATACATATGGAAAAAGTACTTGGGACTTCCAACTCAGTTGCATCTTCAACACATACGTGGTATTCAAAAAATCAGTGCTTGAGATACTAAAATTTAACTGTACCAATATTTCATTCAGTTGCAACATGAAAGGAGAAAAATGTGATGAATCACTAATCAAGTGCTAACCGGCCACCATCATAGATCATCACATTCCTCTCTCCCTAAAGGGTTTTGCCTTCAGAGACACCAACCTATGGAGCAGGCTCTACCCAGTGTTTACCCTCCTTCTTCAATAAAATTATAATTTTTTTGTTATACATAATGAAATTTATACATATGCCTTATAGCAAAAAAAAAAAACAAAAACAACAACAACAACAACAACCCCCCCCCCCCCAAAAAAAAAACAAAAAAAAACAATTTATCTGATCTACAGCACCAATAGTGACCTTAAACTTTTGCACCTGAAAATAACAAAATCTTAGGTGTCTTGCTTCAACCTCTTGTTCCCTTATTAGTTTATACATGAATGAATATATCACTAAATTTTGACCTTGACCTATGATTGGATGTTCCAAAATTTTGATAAATATGAAATGTTGATAAATACATGACCTTTGACCTGTGAAATGACCCTGAAGTCTATACATTTTCACCCTTGACCTGTGAAATGACCATGAAGTCTATACATTTTCACCCTTGACCTGTGAAATATGACCCTGAATATTTCATATTTATTAAAATTTTAGCGATAAAATAAAATCATAATTTTTTTAATTTTGCTGCTGTTGACATATGTAATAGAAAGTGACCCTTAGAATGTATTACATCTCAAACAAACTGACAGACAGACAAAGTGATTAACATAGGTCACCCACTTTTCGATGTTTGGTCTGATTATATTTACTTTGGATGGAAAGAATTAAACTATCAAATGAATGAAAAAACTTCATTTAGTGACTCCTTATATCTAAACACTAATAGCTGTAGACTGCTAATCCTGGCCTGACTTCTATCATTGCTACGTGTGAAATCTTAAGCAGTGACAGGAAAAATTTAACTAACTAATCTCAGGATGTCAGATCTTCTCAGCAGGAAAACTCCCCCTTCATATGGGAATTCCTCACTGTGATTTTGCATCCTTGGCAGATACCAATAATAAACACAGGAATTCTCTCACCATTCATTGCAGTACAGCTGAGAAGGCTAAACTGACACTTTCAGGAAACCCTGTATAATGTTCCTTGTCTCTTTCTTCCCAACAATTCCAAAAATGTAAATGAATCAGCAGATATTCTGACATATTAATTTAAATAAAGATACACATATCCTAAAAATACTATATATGCCAAAGAGTATAATTCACTTGTCTGAACTAATGTATGCCATTCAGTTAACTGAAAGGTGACTGAAAATCTCCTGTATCCCTGTCATTTAGCCACCTTTCCTGACCTTACAGTGATCATACAACTGACTGAATAGTTTAGTAGGTTCATGATTGATGTTTGTGGAGACTCAGGGTGTTACAGAGTAATTCTCCTAAGAGAATAAATAAATATATAAACATTTATTTAAAAAATTGAGAAATGGTTGCCCGCGTGGCACAGTGTGTGGTTGGAACGTTTGCTCTAGAGTCGTAGAGTAATGAGTTGTGACTTACGTCGCTGGTTCAAATCCCACTGTGGGTCATGGAGACCAGTCCTTCGGATGAGACCGTATAAACCAAGGTCCCGTGTCGCAGTAGGTGCTGGCACGAAAAAAAGATCCCTCACTGCTCAATGGCCCTAAGTGCCGAGCATAGGTCAAAATTTGCAGCTCTCCACTGGCTAGTGGTGGCATCTCCATATGAGTGAAAAATTCTCTCGAGGGACATTAAACAACAACAAAATTAAATTAACTTTCATAATTAAGTTTTAAGATTTTTTTTTCACTATCAATTTTTTATAAGTAGCAAAGCCAATTTTGTTTTTTCATGGCACATTTTATAAATCTTATTAAAAAAAAAACCCATGAAAACTTCATTTTATCAGTCAACATATTTTCAACAATCAACAAACCAAGCCGGGTAAACCCCGGTACGCTCTTAGAATCAAGCGAACAGGCTCATGTGAAGTTATAGAAATATTGTATTTCTATCATAAAACATTATCTAGCATAGAAGAGGACTACACTTTTTGCAAATATGTTCATTTCACAATCGTACCTCGATCAAAAGCTTCACGTCTTAAAACAAACATTACTTTCAACACTACTATCCCTAAGGACGCCATGTTGAAGCCGCCCGAGCCCATCAAATTTTTCCGGCTAAATCGGCTCACTCGGCTTGATGCGTGCACAATACCGGCTCAGAATCAATAAACCGATCATCACCGGTTTACCCGGGCGTGCCGGATGGTCAGAATCAAGTATGCTAAATGCAACTCATATTTCTCTTAATATATGGATGAAAAATTAGAGCAGGCTCTGATAAGTATAGATAAAATATCAATGAATAAAATTACAATAAGAAATTGAATTAAAATTAAATTTATTGAATGATAAAGAAAAATTTTTAGTATCAAATTAAGTTCCTGTTTAGAGTTATCTTTCCTGTTACCTTAAGGACTCAAAAACACTGGCAATTAGGACTCCACACACGTCATATCATACTCATGTCATTAATTATTGGCAACTAAACTGGACAGATATCAATGAGCAAAACTAAAATTGCACACTATTTACAAGACTGTATCAATATTTATGAACACACAATGAGAAAGGAATTACTCAAACTCATAAATCAGCCTGCCAAAAAAAGACAAAAACAAAAACAAAAACAAAACAAAAAAACAAAGTACAACTGGCCATTAGTAATTCATAATTGCATTTTTACACTACAGTTGATCTTAGGTATCTCAAACACCCATATCTTGAATATCATGGACATGTCAAAGTGAGATGGAGGTCTCAACTTCTCTTTCACTATGTGTATTTTGAATCCTTGGATATTAAAATTTTTTTTCTTGGTCCATCGAGTTCAAGATAACAAGGTTTGACTGTATAAAGACAAGCTTTATTGAGATCAATTTAGCCATGGGTCCTTGAGGGCATTTAATGGTAAAGAGTATCACACAAAAAACGAAAGTCAAAATTATATATATATCATTGAAAAATCAGTTTGGAAAAAAAAATAACAACTTTATATTGTGAGGCCAATTTTAATCCAATTTTCATGATACACTGTTTATTTTTTAAAAATGCAAAACAAAATGATACCCTAAACAATTAGAATATACAGTTTATGAAATCATCAAGGCAAAAATTTCTAAACTCAAAGTACTAATGATTAAAATCTTAACAAAGAGTCGTAAAATTTTAACTTCACATTTGACATGTGATTATCCTATGACGATAAAATTATTTTGAAATAATCTGAAGAAACTACAAAGATTTCTACATTTTCTGGTGTTTTAGTCATAAAAATCAGCCACAAATGTATGTATAAAGTGTGAATGTATGAATGTATAAACATTCTAAGAATCACTCTATGATCAGTGTCTGAGTGGTCAGGTTTTGTGCAGTATACAAGAAACAAAGAGAAAATGTTTTTGTTTCCAGGGGAGAAAAAATCATAATTCACCTTTACATGTAGCAGAGGGTGTAAAAATATTGGCACTTGATCCTATTCATAAGAGAACAGCAGTGGATTATAAACCCTTTACTTTGCAAAGATGGTATATAGTTTGATGTCAGAAATTGAAATCTGCAATAATTTAAAACAATAAAAAGATTCACTATAAAATGAATTTCTGAATCACCAAAAGCTAATTTCCCCTGATATCCTTAACAATAACTCAATTCCTGCAACAACAAGAAATCTGCTTCATAAAATTTTCTTTTCCCGCAGGCAATTTCTAAAACCATGCATTGCAGCAAGTCTCAGTGCAAGCAACGATTTAGTACGTTACAATGTCGAGTATAAACAAAACTATTCTCATAATAATCTGATAAATATTTAAACAAAAGAAAGTGAAAACTGTTCATAAAAGTCATTAGGTTTAATTAAATAAGGTATTATAAAAAATACACATCTTCAGTTTACTCGAAGTGAATAATTGTGAGTACTTTTTATTTAGAAGGACAGACATACATATGTGAAAAAGTAGAAGTTATACAAAATTTTGTTAAAATTCATTATCTTCATTTTAAAACATTTCAATCTTACTGAATTAATTAATTCTCTGTAAAGCGAAACTGATTTGAGACCGACCAAGTTCTGAGAGAGAATTAATATAAATTAAGAGAATTCCGTCTACACAAAACAATGCAAGCCAAACACAAGAAAGCCTGGAATACATAAATAACTTTTAATATGATATGGTTTTATGATAGATTTTATCTCAATTGGCAATAAGTAAGCAATTTAGCTTGCGCAATATGGATATACAAAAATGCCGCATCACAATGAATTTAATGTTATTATCTCCATGAGCTTTGTGATTTCTGTTTTACATTTAATTTCCCCTCCGATATCAAATCTCAATGAAAGCAATTTAGAGGCTGGGGAATGGTAGAGATCTGCTTTGATAAACGGACAGGTGTCTAAACAAAGCTGTTGTAGCTCCGCTTTGAAGACTTTCCTTTACTGTACGCAGCCTTTACTAGTGTATGCAGCCTTTAAGATCTGACTATGATTTTATTCATTAGACAATGGAAAATCCAAGGTCAACCGATTTAATTAACCTTTTCATTAAGGCTGGCTGAAATTAATTCTATGTTTAACGTCACCTAAAAATTTCAAAACCTACGAGGGAGGGAGAAAAAAAATTAAACAAACAAAAATTTCAAACAAATGAGTATTACTCTTTTACATGAATCAAAATGCTATAAATATTTGTGAATCCTGTAGGCTTTTTATTTATTTATATAATGATAATTTTTTCTTTAAAATTTGCCAGTATATATAAATGATAGACTTAATTAACTCAAATAGTATACCTCATAGGGGCCAAAATGTTGTCTATTAATTCCCATGGAATGCAGTTTTTCGTTGCTTAAAGTGAAAATTAACAAACAGAAATACAAACTTTAAAAATACCAATTACTTATTTTTTCAGAGTGCCAATTTCTCTGAAACCTACACAAACAGGTAATGTAAAACATATAAATACCTTTGAATACCTAATTTGTAAAGTGTAAAATCAGGGATTCTTGAGACCTAACATTCCATTTATATGATGAATGAAAACAATTAAACTTAAATTCAGTCACAAACTCTATTTAAGATTTCATAGCTGAAAGAATCTTACGACTACTCTGTATTTTATTTCACCTGATTCACCACCAATGTAATATAGTGATACACCTGGGTGATTCATGTCAATATATGTATGATGAAATTGTTTCTTTAAAATGAATTCCACATGTCACTGAGGAGTGTGTACTTGGTCAATGTAAACTGATATCATATTTATTTAGAAACCATAAATTTTAGGTATATTGTCCTTATTTGACGTCATAAGACATTAAATTACAAACCAAGTTTGATAAAGGACCTTCCATAAAATTCAAAACACGCCCAAATTTCTTATTTGTGGGACTAAATTATTTTACATGCTATGCATAGGAAATCCTTGCCAGCTGTTTCATGTTAGGTCTGGTGTTAATTCAATAGAAAACAAGATATGGTAAGGAAATTAATGTATTATTCTTTTTTTCATTTAACTCAAACACTGTGAAATGCAGGGTTTTTTTTCAAATTGAATTAGTTTTTTGAAAATCATTAAAAATAATGATCATCAAAATTTAACTTTGCTAAAAATCAGAGCTCCATAATTATAAATATCTCCATTTTCTCTTTGACTTCACAGGAACATATATGAAAAAATTTCTGTTAAATTATTAAAAAAAGTTTTTAAACAAAATTTCCTCTTACTTATATGTAAGTGATGAGGCATCATAACCATGACCCCTGACCTACTGACCTTGACTATATATATATATATATAATATATATATATATGTCATTTACCTTTACACACTGAATAAGAAGTCTGTGAGCATGTGTCAAACATTTAGTACTCTCACACATATCAATAATTTTGAATTTTGACAAGTTCCATAAATTAATTGTGTTTACCCATTCACACATACATTGAAAAGTATTGATGATTATATACAGACAGCTAGTGTCTAGACTCTTACAAAGGACAGACAGACGGATGTACTGATAACAGGAAACCCTTTTGAAAAAGAAGGGCCTTAAATAATGTACTATCTGCATGTTCCTAAAGATTCTAAATATTGACTTTAAAGAAATTTTAAGCTTCAAAACCAAAATTATGCATAAAATATACATTGCATTGAATTAATTTAATCCCTAATGTATTGATAAAATCATATGAAATTAACATGATTCAATCAATAAAATTTCACTCTAAACATCACTCTTACACAGTTTATTGATCTATTTCAGAACTGACAAAGTATTTAGCAATAAGAAATTCTCAGAGATACATATTATAGACATCATAATCCAGACCTAACTGACACATACTGAAGATCAGATAGGAGCTCTCTAGTGTTAGGAGTATAAATAGGATATAGCAAGGCCTGACTTTGGCAGACTTATACTAACAGTGTATTGGGAATCCCTTTCTGGTTTCACTAAGTAGTGCCAGTTAAAATCAATAATTATGACAGAGTGCTGGGGAAATATTACACCCTCTCATGGTAAGCTTCGTGTTTTAGCTCTGTATCCATGACATTTCAAATTAAAATTAATTTCTGTAACTTTTTTTTTAATAATTTATATTCTGACTGCATGACAACAGCAGTTTTTGTATCTCTGTAATATTTTGATCTTTTTTCCTTCTCTTTTTTCACTTAAAAATTGACACATACTATTCTTTACATATATGTTTATTTTGTAAGGTAATGTATAATATATAAAGCAAAAAATAAATGGACACTTTGAAAATAATGAACTTTAATCAGTCAATTGCAGAAATAGATTGAATTTTAACTAAAATAAAATACTTTATCATTTCGGATTTCAGACTTATTGTCATATTTAGAATATAGAAAATTTCCATGAAATGCATCCATTATTCACTGTCCCTGATTCAAATAATGATCCAGAGTTAATTAATTAATTAATATGAATTGATTTACCAGTTAGAATACCAACATTTAGCAAAGGGGCTAATACAAATTTAAAGCTAACGCAGCATACAGAATATATTATAATGTAGTGTAGGATGATATATTTAAATGCATCATTCATGAAATGTGCAATTTCTGCCATTTCAAAACTTTGACCAATATTTAATCATTATATCTACCAGGTTCTCAATAAAAAAAAAAATAAATTTAAAAAAAAAATTTAAAAAAGAGAAAACAACTATTGCTGCAGCACTTAAAGCCCTCCATAATGTCAAATGCTTTAAAAAAAAAATAATTTACACACATTAATTAAAATGAAATTTTTAATGCCCATGCATGCCGACAACCAATACATGTATATACTCTACACAATCTCCCCTTATAATAAAAATTATTATGGATATGTCATTCAATAATGAAAGTTTTCTGAAGCTAAACTCAAAAGTCAGTTAAATTAACAGTACTCCTGACTGTTTGTCATTATTTTGAAATTCAATTCCTATCATTTTTTGCACTTTTAAACATAGATGTATGGCTATTGGGGGAAAAATAATAATTAGGCTCAAGTTTGCAAAGGCCTCATATTATTGATCAATATCATACACAAGAAGACTGGCACTGCAATATTTAAAGTATCTGAATGCTCAATAAAATACTGGATGTGTTTCTATAAGATAAAAAATAAAAGACACTAAGTGCTTGCTTCTAAAAATTGGACTTCAAATTCCCCATGGAATTCAAACATAATGGTCCTTACGTACATTAACTATAGGACTGGTAATTCAGTCGATAACATTTTAATAATAAAAGAGAATTTAATTAACATTGTACTTGTGTCAGTATTCCTGTTCGAGGAAATAGGCTGTGATTAGTACATTTGTATGTCACATCATTTAGAATTTCTCTCCAAAAATAAATCTGGATTCCCCAAGCTTGTAATTTTGATAACCGACTTCTTTTTACATCGGATATCAATTACAAATGTCAAAAGAACTGAAGTAAACTATAACGGAAGAGGCATTATCAGTAATTGTATCAATTTCTCACATTAGTTTTTCAGAAGGTCTTATTTCCCCCTTTTTAATTACAATTATTGTACTATCAGCACTGCCAGCTTTTTCAATTTATGCAGTGAAATCATGATATTCTGGAACTTACAAATCTGTTAAGAAATGTCAAAGCCTTCAAAGGTAAAATTAATATCTAAATATCTAAAGCTGACCTTGTTCTTCAATGAATATAAAGATTATGTAAGACTTGTACAAAAAATTATTCAGTTACACAGTAAACAAGGAGATAGCAAAACGTCCCTCAATAATACTTCATAAAATCAGCAAACATTTTATTTAAGAATGTTTAATTTTAAAAAAATAATTATGATTGTACCTGACTCTGATCGATTATCATGATTTTAATATTAAATTTAGATCATCATTACTTTTCCAAGATAGAAAAATAACTTATACATGCAATTAAATTATTAACCCCAGGGCTTTATATAAATGACTGTGTTCATTCCTACATTAATCTCATCTACAATTTGGAAAAAAATGCAGTCATCCACACACCACACACTAATTCAAACAATGAAGGGAGGTAATGCTCCTGGTTTTCTTATCAAAAAGTAGCTTGACTTTTATGTGCATTACTGACATAATTTCTCTCCCTTTATCTCTCTGTTCTGTAGATGATAAATCTCCTCACAGAGTTACGTGGTGTACCTACATTCCTTCTGAATATAATTGATCATGCAGATACACTGAATAACTTTATTTGGACAAACTTATGGTTTATTTCTTTGTGTGTGTGTAGTAAGGGGGGGGGGGGGGGGGGTATGTGATATGCATTACAACAAATATGGGTTGCTTTTCATCATAAAATGAATTTAAAGATGATCCTGTCTGCTAAATTGCTATAAATGCTAGTGATAGTTTCAAGAAATCTGACACAATAATGACAAATCAGAGAAGTGAAAAAGACACATATTTTCAACAGATATGGTGTGTTTTGCAAAGAAAAAAAAGTGTAAATTTTATTTTCCAACAAAGAAAATATATATGTATTAATTATCTCTGCATTTCAAAAAAAGTATGCTCACTCAGATACTTTTTAAATGGTGTAACTTGTGAACGACATTGACAGATAATTTTCTAGAAAGTCATATTTTACTTGTGTTGATTACAAAGGACAGAATTGAAGAGCTAATTAATATATCCTATCTCAATATGAATACTCAATGTAAACAGGACCCCCCCCCCCTCTCTCTCTCTCTCTCTGACCCATTTCTATGATCCTTTTACAATGATTTTTCCTGTGTTATCTTCAGTAGCTCTCTCTCTCTCTCTCTCTCTCTGCGACCCTTTTCCTTCATCTTTTACAATGATTTTTCCTGTGTTATCTTCAGTAGCTCTCTCTCTCTTTCTGTGACCCATTTCTACAATCCTCTCCCTTCACCTTTTACAATGATTTTTCCTGTGTTATCTTCAGTAGCTCTCTCTCTCTCTCTCTCTTTGCGACCCATTTCTACAATCCTCTCCCTTCACCTCTTACAATGATTTTTCCTGTGTTATCTTCAGTAGCTTTCTATCTCTCTCTCTCTCTCTCTTTGTAACCTCTCCCTTCACCTTTTACAATGATTTTTCCTGTGTTATCTTCAGTAGCTTTCTCTCTGATTAAGTTGAATCTGATTATAACCCCCACTTCATCTGTAAAAACATTTCTTATGTCCATTTCCTATCACTGCCTGTAAATCTTATGTTTACTTTTACTGATAAGCTTTAGTTATATGTTCTTCAGGAGCTGATTAACTAAGGCTATGATCTCTAAAGCTTTGTTTTATGAGTTTGTAAACATTTGAACAAGATAATTTGGCAGTTAAGATGGATTTGAAGACAAAAATGCATTCTATTTTAATTTGAGGAAACAGCAATATCTTGTGAGACATCATCCCCTCCCCCAATCTACTAAACTTGACCCTGATCTAGCTGGCTTGATTGAAGTCTGCACTCACTACAATACAGTTCCTAGAGAAATAATATCTGCCAGATTTGAATTACTAGTAATGATTCTACACATATTTACAGTTAAACCTTGTTATCTGGAACTCAGTGGGACCAAGAAGATATCCCAGGTTCTGGATTTAATGAGGTTTAAATTAAAAACATTAGGAAAAAGTGGTAGGACTTCCAAATTGATCACTTTGACATATCCACCAGGTATTTGAGATATCAATGTTTGAGGTATCGAACTTTATCTGTATCACATATTAAAAGAGTCATATGTATACACTTTATATGTAGGTTTTAAGGAAACAAAAAAAATAAATTCTTAATACTGCTGAAAAAAGACTCATCTGAAAACCAGCTTTAAATACTAAACTTAATATATTCTGAAATAGCTAAAGTAAAATATGCTAACAGTGAACACGCTTAATATAATGGATTCATGCTTACAACAATTAACGTGATTTTCATTCACAAATATGCATAATGAACATATCATGCATATTGGATATAATTATTAATAATTTCTTTTAACAAATTAAAATTGGTTGTACTAATTTGCACTTTGCTATAAGCATGTTTTACATGTATATGATCTTTGTAATTACTTTGACAAAGGAGTATATATCATGAGAAATTTATGTAATTCACATTTTTTAATTGAGAGAATTCACTTGAATTTTATGTACTCTTTTTACTTGAAAAGTTGAAATTCACAAAAAAAAAAAAAAAAAAAAAAAAAAAATCAAGGAGAATATTGGACCCTTTTTGCCCTTTTGACTAACCAGAAAACAAAATTTTCTGTAACAATACAGGAAATTATAATAACCTGTGAATTTATGTGATTTAAGATTAGATTTTAAGTGATAGCACACACAAAATTCAAAGGCCATATATATATATTTACATTTCCAATAAATTTCCCCTATGATTCTTTACAAAATAGATTACAGTTCATTTTCTCATGAACTACCATGGATGAGCATGAATATCTCCATTGTTACATCATAATACCTTACTTGACGTCAAAACTATAGTGCAAACTGTTTTGCTTTAAAAATGACAATTGAATGGCGTTATTTGTGGCAAATCATCAGAAAAAATAATGTAAATATAAGAAATGCATTTAATTTTTGAAAATTCATGAGGTACATGAACTACAACGCTTCACGCCGGCATATTTATCATGAAGCGCTAACGCGCTAGTTCATGTCCTCATGAATCTTCAAAAATGAAATTCATTTCTTAAATATATATATATATATATATATATATATATATATATATATGTATATATATATATATATATATATAAAATTGAAGTTTTTTTTTTTGGCCATAATACTTATTATGTGCTGTCAATTAAAACATGTGTTGTCAATTATGTTAAACATTAGAGGGCTTCCTTTTACATTTTTATAACAAACTATCAAAGCTGAGACATTTACCTGACATTAACAATCAACATTTTGCTCCTAACATAATTTTTTCCCCTTTTGGTGATTCATGTATTGTGCTCATTTCATATGAATACTTAATCAATACATGCAAGTGAAATTGGCATAC